ATTGCTGCTACTGTTCACATTTCACACTTCAAAGGTCCTACCTTGATCCTAAACTCTGTTGTAGTGTCTAATGCAACCCAGTGTTTTCCAAAGACATAAAGCTGTTGTCATTGATGACTAATTTAAGCAGCACTGGATCGGTCTGATTTTTTTCTTGTGATAAATGATGATTCCCTGATCAACTAAAGATCAGTGTCTTGTTTACAAATTACTCCCATACAGAAGGCATGCATCCTAGAAACTCGAAAACTATTTTTTCCACATAGAAAACATTGAACTAGATGCACATTTAAAGCCAAAACATGACTAAAAAGGAAATCCACACCAAGAGAAATACTGTTACTATAATAATTACAGTAATGATAACATGTGAGAATGCTGACTGCTAAATTATACTGTAATGATGCACTGTCTGTAAACAGTGTCATTGTGCATAAACTGTGTGATGTGAACTCCAGCTGGGCCCAGCTGGAGAGGGATTCCCAAATTCTGCAAATGCACTTGTTAAAAGAGCCGAGTTGTTTACAGGACAATTTTTTATATATACTTGTATATCCCCCAGGATATCAATTTAATTATATCTTGGGGATCGTCAAAGAAAAAATAATCTATTAAGAAAAATAGCAAAGACCGTTTGGCAGATCATCTAAGGTAATTCAAAGCATTTCACGCTAACATTGTGTTAACTGAATGTTTATTAAGTTGTAGCCTATAAAAATGGGATATTTTAGAGAGGACATGTTTGTTACAACATTTATTAGCACTCATAAAAGAGGTAATCAAAAATGGCGAATAAGACAATAATAAAGTATGTGATTTAGTTTGTATCTATCCTCACTATAATAAAGATAAAAAAGAAAATAGTGTGAAGCACAGCCTGGGTACTGAGCATCAAGTCAATAAAAAAATTAATTTTCTTTTGGCAGTCAATTGTTTTATTGTTGCTCAAACTTGTAGAAATGTATCCCACACACACTGTTTGCAATTGTAGTTGTTGCTATGTTTGTGGTGTGAACTTCACTTGAACTGGATTGACAATCAACTTTCTGATATTTTATCTGAAGCATCATTGTTGATCTTGTTGTGGATAGTTTGACCTATGTATGTCGTAGAACTTAACATTTGCAGTTTTTAGACTGTATCTAATCTATTTAAAGCCACGTTAACATATTTCAGTTACACCAATACATTTGTTTTAGATTCAGTTATCAATCATATGATTGTGCTGAGGACAAGTTACATCTAAACCCAAACAAAATTTAGCTCAATAAATGTAAAATTGACATAACTAATTTATAAAAATATAATATAAACTATATAATAGGGCTGGGCCATATCATATTGTTCACAATAATACCGGTAAAAAAAGCTTGCCCGGGCATATAAATGATATCATGATATGCTAATTTCATGACATAATACGTCAGGGCGCCCCGTTAACAGAACCGAGCGCGCCGAACGACCACACTGAACTGTGCACCCCCCCTTCACCTGTTGGTATCGGTGTAACGCCTATTAGTTGTGCACAATACTAGCTAGCTAAAAAGCTAAAAACAAACAACGCACAGCTCAGCTGTCTCTCCGTCCAGCTCTAACCTGCAGGTACAAACGCAGCTCGTCTTTTTTCTCTCTACCCACCCTGCTCTGGGCTGCCGGTGCTGGTTGCGTCTCCCCCGCTCTAAACTGCTGATACAAACACGCGCAGCTCAACTGTCTCTTGAGTTCCACAGTCCATGGACCAAGAACATAGTCATGTGATCGGAGACAGAGCAGTCAGAGAAATGGAATCATTCCTGCAGGAACAGAGGAAGCTGAAACACCACAAGCTTCAGGGTCAGCTGACCACCTTGTTACAAGTTTTGGAAGTTGAGCTCATTTAAAGGCAACATATATTTTGTTGTATGTTACATTTACGCTCAACAGATCTTAAGCTTTAATTTTATTTAGTTATTTTGGGAAACTTCCCCTGCACTTCAGTTTTTGTGGTGGATTTATTGATCTATATTTTGTGCAGACTTTTTCAATTTAAATTACAGAAGGATCATTTTTATTTTTTATTTTTATACTTGGAGACTGAATACTTAACTAAATAAAGTAATTTCAGCAAAATTACCCCTTGTATTTTTATTTTATTTTATGTAAGACTGCAAAGCAACATGTTAAGTTAATTTTGTCAAATAACTATGATTTCAGTTTTTTTTTTTTGTTATATCACAAAATGTATTATTATCGTCAGAATGCTCTGAAAATCACAATCTTATATTCGAGCCATATCGCCCACCCCTACTATATAATATAATATAATATAATATAATATAATATAATATAATATAATATAATATAATATAATATAATATTATGAATACTTTAAAAAATAGGGATGGCATGTAGGCGCAGTTGGTAGAGCTGCCGCCTCTCAGCGAGAAGGTCACCCTGGATCAAATCCCGGCTGGGGACCTTTCTGGGTGGAGTTTTCATGTTCTCTCTGTGCATGCGTGGGTTTTCTCCAGGTACTCCAGTTTCCTCCCACAGACCAAAAACATGCATGTTAAGCTGATTGGTAACTCTAAATTGTCCCTAGGTGTGAGTGAGAGAGTGAATGGTTGTTTGTCTCATTTGTCTCTGTGTCCTTGTGATGGACTGGAGACCTGTCCAGGGTGTTCCCCACCTCTCGTACAGTGACTGCTGAATTTGAGCACCAGTGATCCCCTGACCCGGAATGGATGAAGCAGGTAAAGATAATGGATGGATGGATGGATGGATGGATGGATGGATGGATGGATGGATGGATGGATGGATGGATATAAAATATAGTTGTTTTAGTTGTGGTCGCTGTCTTGAACTGGGTTGACTTTAAAATAAACGAGTTGTAGATGTCCATGTTAGGAACCTGAGTTCTTGCAGGTATTTTTTGTGTGTGTTTTGTTATTTATTTAGTTCATTGTGTTGTTTCTTAGTCATTTTGCTCCTTGTCTTTTCACATTATTTTGTTTTAAATATATTTTTTATTACATTACCGTATTTTCACAGTTTTTTGCATAAATTAGCATGCCTGTGACTTATACAGCGAAGCGACGTACTTTGTACTTATGTTTTTTCCCCCCCATATTTATAACCCAATTTTTGGCTGAGATCTGACGATTGCATTCATTCTGACATGGCAAATATTGAACACTACCATTTTTAGTCGCTAGAAGGTCATAGACTAGTATGGCAAGCTAAGTGTCTCATTAATAGGTAAAAGTGGTTATTAATGAGACACTTGGCTTGCTATCCCAAGCCAACTTCGTCTTTCTCCTGAACTCCTCGAGCAAACATCAAATCAGCTGCATTTTGCTGTGCCACCCAGGAGAAATTCAGCTGATTTGACCAATTAAGTGCATTTATTAAGGGAAAAAATAAACTGAGACATTCCTATGCTATAATTTTGAGCAAACAAATAATTGTTTTTAAATGTTAATCTTGTTAAATTCTTATTAAAGTCCTCCTGTGCATGCTCCCGCGGCCGCCATTTGGCAGCCAATCACTGGCCAACATTTCCGGGTTGTCAGCGGTGAGGCATAATAGATGCAACTTATATGGCGAAGCAACATATTTATGTTTTTTATTATTTCTTTTTCCCCACTTTATTAGACATTTTTGGACTGATGTGACTTATACAGCAGTGCAACATGTACGGCAGAAAATATGGTATA